AGCGTTCTGCGCGTAAAATATTTGTGCAAACCAAGAGCTTTCAAGTAATTTCAAGTGCATGAAAGTAATATACAAGTAATTCATTAACGGTTGCACATGGCAAACTGCCTGGCTGTGGTAAATCATTTGCAGGGCCCACATAGATCAAAGTCACTCGAACAAAACAGCCTTTTCTAAGAGCCATCAGGCAGCAAACTCCCATTTTAGGCTCACTCTGTCGGCACAGGCACTCCCCAGCCCGTGACACAGCCACCCTCGGCTCCCAGCCTGTGGGGAGCAGCCGGCCCCACTGCAGGGCCTGGCCCAGGGGCTGTGACTCCCAAACCCCAGCAGAGGCAGCGGTCAGGGCACAGAGGCTGGTGGTGGGGCCACAGGCTGCTTTGGGACCACCTGCTTGGGCTGGGCAGAGCTCTCCCTGAGAGGGAGAACCTCTCAACCGGCAGTGTTCCTCTGAGCATGGGTGTTTGCCAGCCAGGCAGCGAGCTTCCCCCGGCCTATCAGTCACTGCCAGGAAGGCACCGTCTCCTCTTCTGAGAGATTCCCTAGCTAGAGCGCTTTCAAAGCCAAGGCGCAGCCAAGCCACCTTGATTAAGCATATTAAATCATTAAATTAACTTTTCCTGAGATATTCATCTGCTGAGCATAAAAGCCTAAAAGGTGAAAAGTAATTATAAACACATGTCAAGGGAAGGAGGGAACACTCAGGGCACTCAGAGGGGAAGCCGTCGACAACAATTTTCTTGTCATCACGTGCGCTGCCACAACTTCAACGCTTGACTATTGCGACAATGACGCAGGCAGGATGAACTGCAAAAAACATACACAATTAAAAGAAGAATCTGTAACAGGAATATCAAACATTTGTGAATTATTTTGCAGGATATTTTATTTAAATATTATTTGCAGATTTTGCTAGCCTCCTTTGCCGCCTGTAATTGGGAGCTGGTAAAATTTAGAGGCATTTGGATCTCCTGAATTCTACTACAAGAGTGATCTGAATTATAAAATGTTTTTCTTGAATGTGCTTGACAAGAGAAGCATCAGAGGGTTGTGGTCAGTGGCACAAAATCCAGTCAGAGGCAACCCAGCTGTGGTGTACCCCAAGGGTTGATACTGAGGCCAGTACTCTTCAACATCTTCATTGATGACCTTGATGATGGATGACACATGTACCCTCAGCAAGTTTGTGGATGATACTGAAGAGCCACTAAGATGATAAAGGGACTGGAGCACATCTCGTATGAGGAGAGGCTGAGAGAGCTGGGACTGTTCATGCCAGAAAAGAGAAGGCTCAAGGTGATCTATCAATGTGTGTAAGTATCTGATGGGAGGGAACAGAGGAGGAGTCAGACTCTTCTCAGTAGTGCCTAGTGATAGGACAAGAGTCAACGGGCACAAATTGAAACACATGAAATGCCACCTGAACACAAGAAACCACTTTTTTACTGTGAGGGTGGTCAAACAGCGGAACAAGCTTCCCATAGAGGAATATTTGCATCTGTGGAGATATTCAAAACTCAACCAGACATTGTCCTGGGAAACCTGCTCCAGCTGACCTTGCTTGAGTGGGAAGGGATGGAATAGATGACCTCAACAGGCCCCTTCCAACCTCAACAATCTTGTGATTCTGTGATATTTTGGATTCCAACGGAAAATAGAAGAAAAAGATGCTCGCGAACCTCACTGAAACAGTGTGTTCTAAAGCTTCTTTCATTTGTTTAAATACTGATTCCAATTTATATTCCAAATTTTGATGGCAGCATAGTAATGGCATGTGGAAAGCACTGGAATGCAGAGTAAAGCAACCCAGCCTTTAGGAAAAAAATTCTTTGGTGTGATGACCCTGTACTTCCTTAATTACTCTGCTGAGTGTTTCTGGCTGTATCCAAAGTGTATCAACGTTATTACATGTTTCTTTGAAGGTAAGATTGGCTAGCACAGTATTCCTTGAATCCAAAAATTTACACACTAAATATACTTATTTACACACTAAATATATTTATATTCTCATCCTATAATATAGATCCTGAACACCATGTTGAAATATACTACCTTATCCCATAAACTCCTGGTTCAACGGTCAGAACCTTATTTTAAGGATTTAAATCTGCTGAATATTCCTTTCCTGGATGAAAGTGAAAAAACGGCTTGACATTTTGAAGATTACAAGGGTCAGATTTTGAAGGATTTTTGTTTCTGAGGAGTCAGAAGTAGGCATTTGAGACTGTGGGATTATGCTCATTTCAAGACCTACTTTACCTTAAATATTTAGCTCAGCTTTTCTTTTCTTGACAAGGGTACAACAGGTTCTTCTGAATGTGACACACACAGGAAAGCCTTCTGGGAAATGGGTAATACTATTAATAATTTTTTGTTGCTGTGCTCCAGTTATGACTCAGGACCCTACTGCACAGAACAGATCATGGTAATTGTTCAAAAGAACTTACAGTCTAAGTATAAAACAAAACACAACAGATGGGTATAAAAAAGGTGCAAGGAAAAAAATAAGATAAAGAGGCCCTTAGATACATTTGCAAGCAGCAGATTAAGTGGTGCCTCGGCTTAACAGTGAATGAAAGTTTGGAGGAGGGAGTGGAAAAATACCAGAGTTGCTTCATCAGCGATCTCACCAAGAGCTGTGGTGCTTTCCTCTCTCTTGTTGCATTAGCAAGCCTGGCTGTTGGGCTTACTATAGCATCTTGTCCTGGTATTCAACAAAATAATTTCTAAGGGAATTTCTAAAGAAATTTCCCTGAAATTAGGGAAAAAATAAGCAAAATTTCCCTTCTCAGCAAACTCAAAGGAAAAGAAAAGACAGCATCTTCTGGTGGGGTTCTGTGTTTATGTTAACTTTTTTGATTAATCAGGAAAGATAATTCAGCAGGGAAAGCCACACCTTTTCTTGAGAGTCTCACGTTTGTGGGTAACCATTTCCCAATGGCCACAGACTAGTCCATCCGTGTAGGCTTCACTGAAATCAACAGGCTGAAGGTAAAATAATTTCAAGATCAATGAATTAATTTTTCACTTGTTGCAGCTCTGACTTCAGCATGAGGACATGAATTACATATTTCATACAATGCCAAAATTGGAAAATACATAACTAAACTATTGGGCAGCAGTTATAAGTAACAAAAGGAAGCACTCCTTCCACACACACAAAACTGAATTGGAAAACCTACTGCCATAGTAAGTTACAGAAGCCAACAGCATAAATGTATTAAAACAAGAAAGACAATTCTACCACAGACCATTAAGCCTGATGGTGCAGATGCAACTTTCAGCTCAGGAATTCCACAAACTACTAGCTGAATTTGTTTTAACTCACTCTATGCTTAGCACATTTCTTACATTTTCTTCCTAAACATCTACAATCTGACATTGTCAGAGAGGACAATGGTTGAGTACAGCCATTCCTAAGTTCTTAGGGTCATTTTGTTTTGCAGTATTCAACAGCTATTGGCTACAATAGACTGAACAACTGGGATCCATTTACTATCTCTAATATAAAGCAATGTCTTATTCTTCTGCCTCCTGAAAGCTGCATGCAGACAACCTCTTATTTCTCCAGCCTGGCACAGACTTTTTCATAACTCTGACACATAATCATGGCACAAGACCAACAAAAATTAAACAAAATTTTGGTTCTCACCACCACCTGTGAATAAGGTATCTAACCCATGTATTTCTAATATGGTCCTTAATTTCTACTAACATAATTTGTATTGCTTTACATCATAGATAGAATATTCAATCAACAAGTTCAAAGAAATCACAGTAAGCATAAAAAGTCCATGCAGTTTCGATATTGTAAGCACAATACAAATAGTCAAGAAATTTCAAATTGAAGAAAATAAAATATGTGCATGTTTGCTTTTGAAAATGTATACATATGTTATGCCAGAGAAACAACACAATACATATAGCACATATTACCTGGGCTTCAGGAAAGCAGCAGTAACATACTGCTTGAGGGTCAGAGGCACTTTTTGAGATTGGTACATTGCCCAGAGCTGGGCCAAACCAAAGTATCAGCTTTGAGCATTATGTCATTAGCACTTTTTGAATTGTTATGAATTATATAATTAATTTTAGAGAGTATATAGACAAATCCGTTGGTTACAGCTTGTTACGATGAAAGTAAGATTTTGTACTATTGCCCCGTTTAGTCATCACATAATATAATTCAAACTGTTGTCTGTAATGTGCTCTCTTCCCAGGCAACTTTGTAGCAGCCAGCAAAGGCTTTGTGTCAATAGAGAGGAAAGCCAGATCCCGCTATCCTGACAGGAAGAGAAGTCCCAAAATGTTCTCTCTGTAGCAGAAAGAGTCCAGCGTTTCTTCCTAAAAACATCTGCCTCCTATGGGTTATAAGACCTAGACTTCAGAAAACTTCTCATGTGCAATGGGTCCTACAGCTCCTGTCCACAACCCACAGCTCAACAGTGACCAAACCCCTTAAACTCAAGGCCCCAAACTCCTTCATTCCATAATAACCTAACTGCACATCCCAGTGGTATCAAGCAAAGCATCTGATTACCATAAATGCATGCTAGTTACCACTGAAATCAGGTTTAGATGATTGACATTAGGCGCGTATATCAAACAGCTTTCATACATCAGGTCAAATAGTATCTTATGAGACACACATGTAGAGCTCATTTTGGTGAACTGAATGTAACAACTGGGGAAGAAAAAAAAAAATCACATCTACTACACAAACAAACAAAAGCATTGTCCCCCAAAGCATTAACAGGTTGGGAAGGAATACCTTAAATAAAACTGATTTATTTTCTGAGTTGTATCTTAATTTCTATTGTTCTTTGAAGCCAGTACATTACTATGTATGTGGATGTTGACACCAAATATTACCCTTCCAAACAGTATATAGGCTGTGTATACACAAAAATAGACAAGTAATACTTTATAGCTCAACAAAAGGAGGTATAAGCATCCCATGTGATTCGATGTGCCTAAAAATGCTACTTAACAACATTTACCTGTGAGCATACTAGTGTCAGCAAGCTCAGCACTAGTGATGGGTACATTGGGACCATCCTCTTCATATGCTTTCAAAATGTACTTCTCAATTACACCTATGACCCCAGCAGGTTTGTCCCAGGTGACCTCAATGCTGTAACCATTTATACTGTGAACTCTTGAGGGAGTTGGCACATTTTGTGGAACTGTAGAAGAATAAAATAGAAAATAGAGAAAATGGCAGTTCTAAGGAGACTATTGCACCTATTCTTCACTTTTAATGGCTGCAGTAAATCAGACTCAACCATTAGCATAAATACAATTTATTAGAGTTGTAACTTTTCAGCATTGATTTAATATGACTGCACATCTTGAGCTATTCAGTTTAAGCTATATTTCAAAACCATCAAAACTCCATCTACATAACATTCCTTCTTGTCTTGTTGCAATTTTCCAAAAACATTTAATGTATCAAACATATTTAAGCATCACTCATAAAAAGAGGAGGTGGATTGTATGTGGCTAACAAGTTCAGGCATTATAGTCATACAACTGGATGAAGCAAGGCAGTTTTAAGCAGAGAAGGATTTGATATTTATCTGTTGGATGTCTAAGCAACAGAATGCCACAACTATGAAACATTGCTAAAAATGTGCATTCTCATTTACAAAAGTACTTCAAAAAATTTAAACTCTTCCACATATTTTTCATATTTTCACAATGCCATACAACTGCCTCAGGGCAAAGCAGAGGTTTGTAAGGCCTTTTTGCAAAATCCTTTGCTTCTGATCATTCCATATTATAAAAAGAAAAAAAGAAAAAAAAAAAAAGAAAATGAAGATGTTTAAAAGAACTGGAAAGACAAGCTCATATATGCATACAGTTGCTAATAAAAAAAAAAAATCATCCCATTTCCCATAACCTTTAACTATTTATTAGATATTACTATACCAAGTAAAGGTCTGGCCAGTAACAACTTCATCACAGGTGACTGCACAAGGGATGCAGAGGAAAGGCCCAAGGAACACTGGCAGGATGATGGATAAGTTTGCTGTAAATGCATGTGGACTCCCTAGCCCTACTGATGATCATTTGCTTTTCTCACCATCAGATAATCTCTTTTCTGTAATTTTATTGTTTAGCTTCACTAAATATGAATGCAGGCTTGTTTTTTTATATGAAGGGTACCAGAATGTGACATATAAAAATACCTGGAAGTTGCAATTCTTGTTAAAAGAAGGAATGTGATACTCTAGGAAAGCTTTAGTTACTACAGTAATATATTGATTTTATTAGTTCTGAAGTGTATCACAGGGCAAGGTAAGGTACTGTATAGCAGATGGTCTTCTCATAAGGGACATAACAAAACCAACTCAAAAATAATTAAATAGCACAATTATTCTCCAACCCTGGGGAACTTGTAGCTGCTCAATGCTGTGGTCAGCTTGCAAACATAAATTTATTGTAAACTTTACGGTCATCGGACAGTTGATATGAAAATATGCATGAGTGTTCTCTCTTTTGAGTGGAACACAAAATAATGACAGTAAGTTGTAGAAGAACCGATTTGCAAGTCTGATATTTATGCAGGTATAACCATTTTTTGAGATCTTACATTGAATATCTTGCATCAAAAGAATTCTCTGCATTGATGGAATGCAATTAAGCTTCAATTTACAGAACAGGGAAAGCTGGTGAAATAAAACATCCAGAACTGTAAATCTTCAAAAACTTGCTGGCTCAATAAAGTTTGCAAAACCACTGAACAGAAAAGGAAAGGTTCTTTAAATTTTCTTCAATAAAATATAAGAAAAATTTGAACTCTAAGGCTCAGCAGGTATTATGTTCCTACTTTGAAACCCTCTCCACAAGCCACATGCTGCTTTTCTATTAAATATTACTACACTTCCACACACAATCTATGGGCTACTCATTAGAAGAATCCTCATTCAGTCATACTGAGCGGCATACCCATGTGCAGGCAATGGAAAAAAAAACTTTCACAAGATCTTGTTCTCCCTGACAACTATGTGGCCTCTTGTCTTCCACAGCTTGTGCCTGCTATCCCAGTATCTCCTTTCTCTACACTTGATTTTGTAGCCCTAAGTTATATATAGGAAAATACAGATTTACTTACTGCAGCGGACTCAGGTCGTGTGAGTTTAGACGTGCAGGTGTGAACATACCTGGATGCACGGCTATTATTACTCAGTTAATGCAGTTCAATCCTTTCACATTCTTTGCTCTCACACAATTACATAATCTAATATATATATTGGAAAAGACTTTGAATTATGCGTGGAAAATACTTGCCTGAACACGTTCTAGCTGAACACAGTAGTAATTTGGTACTGTTCAAAGCATTAAGCAGTTTTGCTCCTTCAGAAACACTACACAACTTACACTACTCAAAATTGTCGTGGTGCAATTTTTCTCCAACCTGATATTAAATAGCTAATGAAACATGGGAATAAGTAATCCTTAAAATTATATTTACCTGACTCTCTTGTACGACCACGAGTCCATACACTAGATACTGATCCTCCTTCGTTTGAGGCAACCACCCTATAAAGGTACTCTTCAAAGAACACAGAGAAGGATAGAGGAAAAACAAAACAAAACACAAACAAATCACTGAACAGGGTAATACATTAATACAGAACAAAATAAAAATTATGTATCTATCTCATTTAAGGAACCAATGTGTTACCTGTAAATGGTTGTAGACCACTCTCATAAACACTCTGCTCTTTTCCTCGGTATACTAGGATGGAGTCATTTCCCCTGCAGTTAACAGCACTGTCAGTTGATAGGCATCCGTCCAGATTGACTCTGACAGCACTGCCGGACACAGATGCCAAGTTAACGACAGCACCTCGTGTAAATTTAACATCCTTCATGCAACCACCGAAACCTAGCAAACAGTAAGGGATTAGTATCACATAAAGAGCTTCAATCATTAATTAAGAATCACTTTTGTTCCTTTCAATTCTATATTTTCAGCACTAAAAACTGTAATGTGAATATGTTAACTTCCAACATGACATTCAGTCTCCCCTTTCAAGATACTAAGCTGGTAAAAATTCCTGGTATTCTGGTGTTGAGTTCCTGCCTTACTGAACTATACTTTCATTGTTATCAAATCCATCCCAAGAGGAAATAGCTTTCTGTTTTTTCTTCTGTCACTTCTCTCTTTAAAGTTATTACCATAAAAGTGATTCTGAATTTGAAAATCAGCTGTCTACTGCTTGCTAATATTTTTGCTCTTCCTCAAACTGAGAAGAACGCATTGATTAAATATATCATTAACTTCAGGAGATCGCAGATGTATATCAGTTTATCCTAATGGGATACTCTAGAAACATAACCCCAAACTGTTCATTCATAAGAAAAACAATCAAGTAACTTCATTTCATATTTATTTCTATATATATGCGTATATATATATTTCTCTGTGTCTAACTTTCCCATCGACATTACAAATATGTTAAATTAGTTACTTGCAGTAAAAACACTACTACAAAATTTCAGGATGCAGTTGTTCAAATTTCTATATATTTCTGTGACTTAATTTACAAAGAAATTAATAAATTGATACAAAATAGTTCTCAGCTCTGAGTATAGTGATTGGTGTTTAACACAAAACCAAAGTAAACAGTAACCAAACTGAAGACTTCAGTTTACTGAAGAATTAACTTGGTAAATTAAAAATCAGCCTCTCACAGATCAGTGCCCCTGTTTAGCTTTGTGAAAGCACCATATTTGTGTCTTATGTAGTTTTATTGCCTCCATTACTGCAAGATAGCAGGTCGGAGTGCATTTGTACTCAGCCACCCAGTCTGAGAATCTAATATCCATACATAGTTTGTGCAAAAAGAAAGGTCCACTGAAAGTGGACACCCATTTTGAATCGTCCTCTAAAACACGTTCTCTCCCCACAATGCTAGGAATTTAGACAAACTGCTCCTTAAAATGAATATATTCTAATTTAAGCTCAACAAAATGAACAATTGTTCAATTTCCAATGAGAAGTATACTGTATAGCCTATTTTAATACGTTAGTATCTTTTTAGCTGCATTTATCACTATTTGAAGATTTCTGACTGACATCAGCCAAGTAATCTTGTTTACTTTCAGGTAGCTGCAGAATAAGCAATAACAGTACAAATTCTCACAAACATTCCCGCCAGCTCCCCTCCACCTTGACCTCTCAGGAGAGCATGTGATGGGTAAATGCAAAGGCCCACAGATTCTATCTGAAATTTCTTAAAATAAAGTTGTAAATGACATGGAGGTGGGGTGGGAGGAGAAGGATATTTATCCCTTATTTGCTGTGAGCAAAACAGTATTCCTATATTCAAAATTAATTACCAAGCAGCCATTAACAGAGAAAACCTTTTGTAAATACTTACTAAGCTCAGAAGGTCTCCATATTATACTATCATATCATTGCATCATTATAGTCCTAAATAAAAGTGTGTTTCAAAGCTGTAATACCTAATCTTGCTCATCTAAATCTACATTTAGGAACACACAGCAATGTTTTTATCTTCAGACGCTCTGAATATAAATTGACAGCCGCCATCTTATTTTGCGGTATGCTGAGGAGGCTCAGTGAAGAAAGTAATGTTTATTGATGTGCCTCAATATGCACTTCAGACATTCACTTTAGCCATTATTTTGCCCTAGATTCTTTGTTCGCAGATCTCTTTGCTGCAGGAGTTGCGAACGCATCCGCTCACGAGGCTATACCATCTGCTACGAGGCATCGCTGACAGGGTATGACTGGCTAGCACTTCTGGGCCATAAATATTATGCACACAGAACCTGGAGGAAAATTGTAATCTATGTGATACCTACAGCTGGAAGAATACTTAAAACAATATTTTTGAGCTCTCTGTGAATGCCAGTGCATGGATTTGAGTCGAACTATTCTATAGCTGTGAAATCATAAGGCTTCAACGGAGCTCTGCAGAGCTTACTTGAATGCACGCATTCAATGTGAGATCATGCTTTCAAAGCCACTTACTAGATTCCCCACTAATTACTTACTGGCTGCTACTTATTTGCCCACAGTAGCTGAAAAATACACCATGACTGATGAATAGCTTCATAAGTAATGAAAAAATACACCCAAACTGTAAACAGAGCTAGTTTAATAGATGGTTTTTTACTACATTTCATACAGTAGATCCTTTTGTGGAAACCATTAGTATTAGGCTGTAATTAATGCTTCTCTTTTTTCCCCTAGAAATTTTACCTGTTCCAGAACATAAGGGGGTCAAGTAATGGCTAAAAACACAACTGTCTGCCCTCCCCTGATAACATGGAAAATATCATGGCAACGTGGGCAAAATCCAAATTCAGGGGTTTATACTCAATTTTTTAGACCAGAATCAGTATCATGTAAAAAAGGACTAAAACTCTCAACAGTTCTTCCACGTGGCAGCATCCAGGCTCATCACAGTGATTTAAGCTATGTTTACTGTCTTCCACTGGTTTTGTATTCCAGATCTGCGAGTGACACACATTGATCAAGTGAAACAAATTTATCTGAACTGGCTTTCTCTGGTGAAGATTTGAGGTCTTCTGGTTGGGCATCTCACATTACCATTTGCTACTCTCCTGTGAGTTAGATTGCTTCAGATATCACTGGGTTGGAAGAATTTTTGTAGCATTACAAAAGAATGAGGACTAAGTAAAGCTAGATGGGTAGGGGTAACTGGTAGTTAAAACAACAATGGGGGGGAGGAAAAATTCATGTTACATATTCATGAATTTACACTGCTAGCAGCAGAATGTCCACCTTGTGCATGGCACCAGTTTTTTAAAAACATCTTCTTCTTGGTGTCATCTTACCTTGTTCTAACCCCAGTTCTTTATAAAAATTCTGAATCTCAGGTGGGATTCCTCCTAGGTAGACAGGTGAGTTTGCTTTTAGCTGCTGAAGACGGGGTTCGAGTGTCTGCTCACTCAGTTCGTTCATACTTGCTGAAACTACGGAGCCCTCCTTGTTCACTGTGACTTTGTTCCACTTTCCATCACAATAAGATAGTCCTAACCAGAGATCCACTTGTGTAAAGACAATGCCAGTTTTTAAAAAGATGTTTAATATTCCACTTTTCAGTTCAATCTATATATTTTAAAACAGAAAAAAAGATTTTGAAAGAAATATTGCATACATGGCAACAACAGACACAGTTAATTTTAAAAAAAATAATCAAGGGAGTCAGTGAGTAAGATCAATGAACAAGACATTTTTATCTTCAGGATAGCAGAAATTACAATAAAATTGTTTACACAAAACATGCTAAATACAGTGTATCAGTTAATTCAGAATGTAGGAAAATATATTCTGATATTTTGACAACTGATTTTAGCACTAATGTAACTAAGTAAAAAGAAAAGACAATGAACCGGGACTGGTTTGCTTTTTTTTGGGGGGAATGAGAAAACAGTATTTTATCTATCAATTCATTTTTTAGAAGAATGTAACAAGATAATAAGGAAATGAAGTGTCAGACCTGATTAAGGTCTTTTTAATTGGCTGGTGAACTCAATTTCAAATTTTTCCAGCATACATTGATTCTGTATTTCATCCTTATTCTTCTAAATCTTGTAAGAAAATAATTGTTTTTATATGTGCTTTTTGAGATTAGTGTGCTAGTTCTCTAACAGAAATACATTTTACTTAAGTTTTCACTGCAGTAGTTTCCAAATGCTTTATTGCAAGACTCTTTATCCTATCTGAAAGGAACACAAGTGGGCTGAGATTGTAAATTGGCAGGTATAGAGCACTAAACACTTTGGTGATGAACTGGTGGTTGAAAAATATGGTGGTATAAAAATATGTTCACAAAAAGGCGTTATTGTTCCCATGACAAAATCTTACTGAGTGAAAAAACCCTACAGATTTAGTATAAATGTTTATCACCAGTAATGACAAACTGACATATTTAGGTTACTGATAATATCAATGTTGCAGTATTTGTAATTGAATTGTATTTCCTTAACAGAGATCCCAGCTGAAAACAGAACTCAGTACTTGAGATGTCATGGGCAATACAGGTCCTGTCCCAGAGCACACACTGGCTACTTGCTCATGAAACAGAGGGATTTTTTTAATTTGTTTCTTGGGACCACAACTTTTCCTATTTCCATGAGTTCATAGCCCTTTGTGGCTAAGGAGTCTACAATACAAGTGAAGGACAGATCATGGCATCAATGCTGATGAGTATAGCTTGAAAAAGCAGTCCATTCGACAATTCATCTTTTTTCTTCACTGATGAGAATTGATATGGAGCACACTGTGCTGGTGTGAAGAAAGCATTTCAGCTGCATGACTACAGCAGTATGCCAGCAAGTCTGCCAGACCTGGGAGCTGGAGAGAGGACATGGTGTTTGACACAGGGTCACTACTCAGCACATTCCTCTTCCAATTTCCTCATCTTGGCATAGTCTTAAAGCAGGCAGAGAATGATGAGGGGGTTTGGGGGATTTTTTTGTGGGTTTTTTTTTTGTTTTTTTTTTTTTTTTTTTTTTTTTGTGATGACCTGGACTAACATTTAGAATTCCCAAGTGCCCCTAAAGATAGAGGACTACTGTTCACTTTGAACTGTTCTGCATGGTGAAGATTAAAAAAAAAGAAGTCCTGCATACATCTAGCATTCTCTCTGATACTGAGCATAGGTTCAGAAAAACAACAGGTAAATTGTTTGCTTTGGATAAAATTCTGGGACCACTTTAAAATAATGCTTGATTGCTAATCTGCCCTTGGAAAATATATTATTACTTTAAACCAAAAATGCATGAAGATCATAATTTTCTGCCAGACAGCTTAGTTGATATCTCTCAACAGAACAAGAGCATTATATCAGATCTCTAAACCTGAGCAGGCTCTCAGTTTTATGCTTAAAAGCATACTTGCTTTTCAGAATTTGGGGTACAAATATTAAGTAACACTGAAAATTTTATTAATACTGTTCTCTATGCACACAATTCTTATTTTGATATATCTAAGCATGTAAGGTTGGAATTAGGAAAGCCAAAGCTTAGCCTGAATCTGGAAGAGGACATGAGGGACAAGAACTTCTACAGGCCCACTTGCAGGTTGTGGCATCTCTCTGAGATTGATACAGGGACCAATTCTGATTAAAAATTTTATTAATGACCTGGGCAATAGTATGGGATATACTGTCAGCAAGTTTGCAGTTGTTAGCAAAGGGGGCTGCCACTGCTATCCCAAACATAAAAAGCAGCTTTGAAGAAAAGGACTGAGGGTCAAGATGGATTACAAAGTAAACACCGATCAGCAACGTACCCTTGAAATGATGAAGGCCAACATGCACCGGGCTGTATTAGAATTTAGGTAGGCAGTGGGTCCAAGGAGATGATTCTTCCCCTCTATTCATCATCTATAAGACTACATCTGGACTATTGTATCCAGTTGTGGACACTCCAGTATATGAAAGATATTGGCACACTGGACTGAATCCAGTGGAGGGGCACCAAGCTGTCAGGGGTTGGAGTACCTAACGTGTGAGTTGAAGCTGAGTGAACAGGCTTTGCTCAGACTTAAGAATAAGCAGAAAGAGAACATAACTGTTCAACTGCCTTATGGAAGGATATAGAGAAGACAGACCCAGACTCATCTCAGAGGTGCATAGTGAAAGAATGAGAGGCAGAAGACAAATTGTAACAAGAAAAAACTCAGATTTTTTTCTATAATGAGGATGGTCAAAGATGGAAACAGGCTGTAGAATTTGAGAAGCTGTGGACTGTCCATCTGTAGAGAGACACACAATACTCAGACATAAAATGCATGGAGCAACCTTATACAACTAAATTGGCCATGCTTTTAGTGGAGATTTGGAATAAATTATTTCTAAAGGTCCCTTCAACCTAAATTATTTTGTGCTTCTGTATTTTCCTTCTGTGCAGGGACTAGTCCCTACCTCACTCAATCTGCTCATAAACATATGATTTTGAATATGAGAAGAATATCCAGCCATAGCTCTGAGAAACAAAACTCAGATAGGACAGGGGCTGCATTGGAGGCTGAATGACACTTTGTAAAATCTGCTATCCAAAAAGGTCTCAGCCAATGTTGAGCTGCAAGACTGATTATGGCTTCATCTCCTTCAAACAGGGACATCATCCTGAGATTCAGGGGTATCAGGAGAGACAAGCAACAGACTTGAAAGAACTTGGCAATGACAGTCAGTTTGTGAGTCCTTTGAAAGGAAAAGTACATGGTACTGATGTTGAACCGGCCTTTCCAGTTCAAAATCAGTAATATTAAAGAGATGTCTCTCTACTGGTACCAGCCCTGCTCAGACTGGCCAGCCAGAGGCCCAAACACAGACTCCTCAGAATCAGTCATTCTTTAATGGAACAGGAATCTCTTCCTCACAGCAGCCAGAGAGAAATCACTGGTAAGCAATAGGTATATCACCTTCACATGAGTACCAGTCACTTCTTTGCTGGTGAAAAGATTTTGACTTTGAGTCCCCAGAACACTTAATTCACAGCCCTCCTTAGCTCTTTCACAGGTAACACTTTCATCTCGGACACTGGTTATTTTACTTCCTGCAGCTACTTAAGTGCAATTCTTTTGAGAAAGTTCCTGCAGGATTCCTTTCTTACTTTGTAGCTTTGCAGAAGGAAATCAGCTCTTGAATTCAACTTCAGCTTTATCAGCTACAATGTCTTGGGAGCTGGTGCCACTGTCGCACATAAGATTGGGAGTGCTTCGGCTTTCACTGGCTGCTGAAGTGGTCAGCATCAAAATCAGTAATGCAAACTCTATCAGCTGTCACAGTACCTTCTTTCAATCACATGTTCACGAGGAGACACATGCCAGACTGAGCTAGTGATACATATAGTTTATCAGGTCACAGTTTGCTCATAATTATCGTGCCCAAATCCAAAGAGAATCACATTGACGTCTCTAGCTTGAGTTAATTCTCAGGGTATGGAAGTCACGGAAAAAGTGACCTTTACACAGAGCACCTTTCTAGGACATAATTTTGTCTTGGGCAGAAGACAAGAGAGAGTCGCCGTTTGGTAGCAGGCCAGCCATGTGCCTAGTTTAGTCATTCCAAAACTATAAAGCTAATAAGAGAGCTGTGACCTACGCAAAGGGAAGGCTCAGGAACTACCGTCTTACATTGGCACTCAGGATAAGTGGTATAGCTTCTAATCCGTTTTGCAGTGCAAGTGTCTCCTGACCAAAGCTCCTAACAAAGACATCGTAGCTCATGCGCAACACGCTACACACCTCATTTTCACTCTCTATTAACCTTTTTTTTTGTGAGCTCAAGTGTATGGAAAAACCTTCTGTCATCGTTATGTATGTGTAGAACACAAAGCTGCAAGGGTTAGAAAAGCATGCATATACCCATCCACTCTAAAATTCCTCATCTTAAGGCTATGGAGATGTTGAGGTCAAGCGCAAAGTGAGAAAAGAATTTACAAGTTTACTTGACTTGGGACAAATGGCAAGAAAATTATCTAATCACAGTTTTCAGTGCTAAAAATAATATAAAACTGCCAAAAATCTGGAAGTACGAGTAGAGAAGGAAATTGTTTTGTCTAACTAACTACTTTGTGCTTTTGACTGCACTTTCAATTTAGTAAGTCCCCTTTTTCCTTTATAGTCAGAAGCTATTTTCTCATATTTACTAGTCTTTCACAGAGCAAGAGAAAGGAAACAAGGATTACATACCACGAGAATCTCGAGAAGAACACAAGCCCCATGTTTGTCCCTGTTAAGTACTGTTCACGTAAATAGTGCTCCAGCACTGTGAATTACACACGTACAAGTCTCTTTTGGGTGGGGCAGTAATGTATGTATAGCATCTTATGCTATTAGCTCATGATCTTGGTCATTACTTGAGGGCAAAACGGAAGTAATAACATGTAATTAGCAAGAATTCTTATTGGAACTCATTATAATTTTTGAACTAAGGCTGCTTGAAAAAGAGGAAACAATCAGGTCTAGCAGAATTCAAACTCCAGGAAAAGAATTATCTGCTGGAAAAGTCAGTTATATAAAAAGGAAATGTAGAGTAAGTTATAGTTGACCTGAAAAGGGGAAAAAATATATTTATATGGTTTAGGTCAGAAGTTTAAAAGAAAAGGCACATTAGATATAATGCCATGCAATAAAACAGGCTGAGACATGACAGCCATTAGCAAAACAGCTGCATTATAATAAATAGATAAATGAAACTCAATAAAAATGCAGAAAGGGCAGATTAGGTCATGAAGAGTAACAAAACCCTCAAAAATCTCTGAATATAAATGATTGCTTCTTAGTCCAACTAAAAAGATATATTACTTCCAATGTAATACGTAGTAGCTGGTGCAAGTAGTAACTATAGTTGATCCACTAACCAATGGTGACCACAGTCTAATTACATTCAGAATCCTCGGGGAAAGAAAAATACGAAGATCTAGAGCCATGTAACTAATAAAAAAACCTGAAAAACTGCATCAAACACATTCAATCTTAAACAAAATCCTGGAAAAGATGGAAGCATGAGTACTTCTGAGCATATACCAGTCTTATTTAATAGACACCAAAAAGAAAGTTCATAGGCATTATCTCACAAATTTCCCTAATACAGGATTTGTCCAACTTCCTCTACAGTGTTGGGAAAACTGATCGGGATGAGATGGGATGGGATTAAGCTGGACCACTAATTTCTGCATATATGACAATCCTTATGTTTTAAATCAGAATGAAGAAATTATATGGATTATAAAAAATTACAGAAAGCTTTGTTAGGATACTGGACAATCTCCGTCATGAACTTTTTGATTTACAATTTAATTGATTTTGTTCTAGTATGAGAACTGGGAACTTGGGTAACTCTATACTTTCCCAGGAATTAACCAAAAGCATTTAGTACATGTGTTTTATTCTCTTTGCTTCTAATCCAGCAAAGAGAATAATTCTGCTTTCCATATATTGATAGCTTTCTTATTTATGATATAAATAACACAGGTAAATTATTCTGAGAAATTTTGGAGTCTTTTTGCTCCCCTTACACTTTGCTGTGCACAGCATTTCAAAATAAGACACAGAAATAACTTGTGGTTTGAAATGTCTTTAAATACTGAATATATCTTAGTAGACAAAACTCACAGGTCATATCTGAATATAGTTATTTGCATTTCTGAACTTACTGCAAGATAATCTGGGCCATCTTTATTGTAAACAAACAAAAGCAAACCATTCAGTTGATCTGTTCTAAATTGGAATGAGATCTCAAATTCCAGTCCACCACTGAAAACACCTGAATGCAGTTCCAGGAACCCTTGAAAGAAAGTGAATACATACATAATTTAAATGAAATACATAAATAAACAGGTTCAAGAAACTAAAAGCAAAAATCTAGGTGCTACTTTCTACTTTGACATGAAGAAACCAGAGGTTTCAAGATTAAGGTTTACAACTTTATCACTCAGCTTTGTAAAGGACAGTTATCCATAATGTACTGCAACAAACCAAACTGGTACAATGTCCTAAATTTTACTACCTGGCTTTTTTTTTTTTTAATACACATTATAGGCATCTGTGTCTCCTCCAAAGTGAAGCTTCACCTTTTACATGCATATCAAATCTGCATACAGTACAGCAGCAGCACCTGTCTGTGAACGCAATTACTCTTTCATGCAGTAATCTTCTGTAAACCCGGAAACCAAATTTTAAACCATTCAAAAATAATCCTATATAACTAAAACTGCTCTGAAAAGCAGATCACTGCAATACTTTTGATATGATCACCTTTTATACACTAAAATCATACTTGGCTAGTACATTAGTACAGCAAACTACCTTTGCCAAGAAAATGTGCTCCGTCTGAAAGGACAACGGGGCATCCTTCCCAAATTTGATAGACGTTGGTTTGCTCTTCAGCATCCTGCCAGTTCAAAGATTCCCAGTTTTCATAGGGAGTATGCACTTTTTTCAAAAATACATCACTGAGACACCCCACAAATCCTTTCTGGACTACCATCTTCATCCCTGCAAGAAAGGAAAATAATTTTTTTATGCCAATCACCTGCACCTAAATGCAGAGATTAATTTCTATGTTTTATACACGGTCACTCTATCATATATGTCCATGTTGACATTGATAGCCAGCCATCAGTCACTTCATAAAGCTGGTCTCCAAGCTAAATCCAGATTTCTGAATGGGTCTAGTCACTAAAGACAGCAGCTACTGCTATGTAGCTGAAAAATATTAAACTTTTTGAGATTTTGCATTGAATCAATGGTGTAAATGTACTTCATGAAGATTCTAAGGAAAGTTTTCAGGTTTAGCCTTTTTAAACAGAACAATAATTGCGAAAAAAGGCGTGCATCTGCTGAAAAGGAAGAAACAGTGCTGCAAAAGCTAAGGCAGACAAATAAATGTTTAGAAGCTTCATCAGGAAGTTTTTCTTTCCTTGTTTGGAAAAAAAAAAAATAGTGATTTGTGGCTGCTGTCTCTTTCTTTACTGGAGACAAAAATATAAAGCAGATTTTACAGATGGTGTTCTCTGGAATGGTATTTATAGTCAATCTCATTTTGATTATTTTGCAGAGTTTTTGAGGGAGGCATCCTGTATTACTTTATGAACTAAAGTTTTAGAAGAAGACATGCATGTATTTCTGGTTTTAGTAAAGTGAAACGAAGGATAGAAGAAGCTGTCCTCTAGTGTACCTCACACCAAGTCATCAACTAAATTTCACGTCCTTATCAGTGGTGGGAATACAAACTTAATACAAACAATTTGGTTTTAAGGTTAATATGAAAATAACAAAAGCCTGGATGTGAATCCACTGAGAACAGCTGATTGTATACTGGTTTTGTATGCAATCACCTCTCTGTTATGTGCTAGTAGAATATACACTTAGTATATATACCAAGTTTATATAAGATGACATATGTTTATTGATTCTTCTGGAAGCCAGCTACAATCCAGCTCCACATAAATACAGCTGTAGAATACAGATATATTCATACACCACTGAGTTCAATGCAACAATCCCTGAACAATCCAAAACTCACACCAAAAAAGGCCAGCGTGATGTATCCCTGCCTCCAACTGGGATGCGTAACTCTGTGCTTAAGTTAATAAAAACAATCTCTATGTGTACTTTGGAAAAGAATTTGGGAATCTAGAATGTAAAACGTACCCATGAGTTTCTCACATGCACACCAGTTCTGTGCATAAAATCCCTTAAAATGTACACAGACCTCATACACTGCTTTACTGCCGGTGAAATCAGCTGTATAGGTATTTCCATCTATCCCAAAAGATAAAATTCGAGAAACTGTACAGACTTATTTTTGATTAAAACAATTATGCAAATTAAGTACTGTCCTCATGTTTCTGACACAACGTCAATACCCCCTACACTACTGCAAAGGCAGTTAACTCAGTGCCACTTTATAGGACTTGTCGTATTATACAGGCCGCAGCTGTACTCACCTGCATCCTTTCTTACAATAGTATAACCCTGTGGAAGTCCTCCAACAAAAACTCCCGTGTTCTCTCCAATAATGCTACTGCCACTAGTTGCTACAGAAGAACCTGTACAAAATAGGTCATTATTCCTGTGTTCAATGCTTTCAACAGATTTGCAACTCAATAACAGAATACTGACACTTGAGAAAAGAGGCTAATGTAACACAATGTCCTAATATTTGCCCATACACATCTTGGAAATATTTACAACTCCATTCTACAAAATAATATTAACACAATCATAGAGTCACAAGCACAAAAAGACAAAACTCCTTACACTTAGTATTAAATTACCAAAGATTCACAGTGGACGGATACCTCAGATGCATGGACAAAACAGTAGTGATTTTGTCAGAAAATGGAGTTAATTTCCTGCTATATGGATGCAGATAGGTAGTGGAAAATTAAGCAAGTGAGCAGCACACTGAGTAATACCAAAATAATAAAGCAAAATGGAACTGGATTGATTACCTGTGTACTGCCCATCCACTGTGATGTTTCCCAGTGCTTGAATTCTTGTAGCAATTATTTGATGCCAACTGTTATCTTTTTCCCACCATCATTAGTTGGAGTGACTGCTACCGCAGATCCCTTTTTATTAACAGAAGAATCTGATTTAGAATATTATGAACATAAGATTTAGAATTACACCTTACTGTTTATACCACTCTGTCGTATATAACATCTAAAAATAAAGACAAAAGTCTTCTGTTTAACTTCTTTTGGAATACTGAATGATGTTTAGGACTGATTTCCTCACTAAATTAACCTTCTCAAATAATAAATGAGGGATCAAGGATCCAGTTCAGTTTCTATTAAAAATAGAAAACCCGGTGTAGTTCTCCTGATAAAGATGAGGATGAGGCACAAATTACTAAGGGTCATGTCACTCAGATTTTTTTTATTATTTTTTTATTTTCTTTAATGAAGTCTTTATTTAACTACTTCATAGATTGCTGTGGTTGTAAATTTTGATAGCCATGATGCAACGTGCCATCCACAGAAAGCTACTGCATATCAGGATTGTTGACTGCAGCACCTGTCTACCAGAAGGGACCCAAAAAAGAGATGTATTTGTAGAACAGTGTGAAGATGAGCGTTCTGTCTCTGTTAAGCTGGTATCAAAAGGACTTGAATTTTTAGGTGAGAGAGTATAATACATTCATGAAGGAAAAGGTCTTACCAAAACCAAAAAATATAATGATATGAGGAGGGTAATCGAGACATTCATGACAAAATATAGACAAATATTTTCTGAATTGCTAAGAGGAATATAACAGATGCTGTTGCCAAGTCAAGCCTCAAGACTGTAAACAACCAAACAAAATACCCCATAAATTCATATAATGATGCAATAAAAATAAAACTAATGTATTTCAAGAATTTTCATGACATTTATATGCAAATAGTCTTCTAACTTCCGAATAATTCCCATAATATTGTCTCAGGACCTTATATCGTAGTTGAACCGCGTGGGAACTCGAAGTTATTCTGTTGACTTCACAAAATAGAATTATCCCATGTAGCAGGCAACTACTGAATGGAAAAACATTTCTTTGCATAGGCACTACATAATATTAAAGAATCACGACCTCTGCAGTTACTTTATGGCTTAAGCAGGCTTCAAAAATAACAATTTCAAAAAAATATGTAAAAGAGAAATAAAAGGTTCCTTATAATTTGGGGGTCTAGCTTGTTACTTTGCAGTAGCAAACCAGACAATTCCGAATTATTTTTTTTTTCCAGATCTTCCAGTACTCTTTTGGCTCAAGGACCTTAGAGTTATGCATACAAAGAAAACCTGTTGATAAAAACCACCACTTATTGTGATTAACACTAAAAAGGTCTTGTTAAAATTTAGTATTCTGCCTTTAGTGATGTGCATCTATTAAACATTGTTTTCAGAATATAGATTTATAAACATAGTATACATTCTACAGTAAATTTTGAATTGGGGACTGTCACTCTGTATCCTATGTATGAAAATACATAGGATGTGTACAGATGTACACAATTACAGGAAAAATAACTTCCCATGAATATTTACAGCATGTTTCCTACTCAATTCAGCCAACGTCTTGGTATTGAGGCAGTTTGTACAGCAGTCCTCTGTCCCATGATAACAATGCAAAGCTATATATGCTTACATACTAACGTGCACTTTTTCACATACTATTTTTTATTGTCGTCTCTCCTATTTCAACATTTTAATATTTTACAAACACACATTTCATTATCGTAGTTTAATAATTAAAACCAGAACTGGTGTCATGCCCAATTAATGTGCCCTGGTAGCATGCCCATTAGTTTTTCCATTAGTGAATTCAACAATACTAATGGGATTACTAGCATGGGATGCTAATTGGGCGTGACATAAGAAACTGGCTTACTTCTTAGCATACCCTTGCTAATGATGAAATTAATGAGCATTTTATTAAATGCTGTCTCATCAAAGTGTACTTAGTTAGCGTTAAAATTGTTACAAACGATGCTGCATTCTAAAGATCAGGTGCCTGAATAAGTGGTTCTTCATATTATGTTTGGCAACAGTCTAGAGCATTAACAGTTTTATACATCAGAAACCACATTTATTTGTAACCAATTCAATCTGGGACCACACAACCATATGTGCTAACCTGTGCCTAATTTCAGGGGGAAAAAAAGGAAAGAAAAAAAATTTTAAAAGACCATGTTGAGGGTTCAGCACGCACTGCATCGGAGGCCTCTGTATGACGTTTTCTCCCCAACTACTCCAGTCACTCTGTGATCATATTCAAATACCCTGTTGTGAAATGGCTTGTGATGCATTTTGGAAATCACACATAGGGAACCACATCTGGATTAGTTTTCCGAGCCATACAGTAAGTCATAATGTTTAGTGGCTCTCACTAATAACTAAGTAAACGTGAATCTCTATGGCTCTTCCTGCTGTTGATTACACTTATGAAAATATGTAGAAACATCACAAACAGTGATCCTCGAAGACACTGCCTAGGTGCCAAAGTCTGAATGCAACTACACTTCTCCCAGTCAAGTTCTTTCAATGCCCAAACTCCTACAACTGAGACAGGTCCTGACCAAGTACTGAAGTTTTGCCAATGCTAAGCAGCAACCTGTAGTCAGGATTTACAGCTAGGTATTCTCCATCTTCCTTTTTTTGAGAGTAACAGCTCACCCTCAGACTGTACCTACTACTTCAGCCTCCGCACAAACCACAGGCAACAAGAAAACTATTGAGTGTTGCTCCCTTTTTTTTCTTTTTTTGCTATAAAGTTTAGTAAATGAATCATCTTCTAAAATGGAAGAGTTGGATTCAATTCACTCCATATTGTAAGAATCCCGATACTCTATCCTCAGAAGACTGTCCTAAGCACTAGAAAAATGGTGCTCCAGGTTGGCCTTAAAATTCCACTGTTAGTGATTTCACTTTGTATAAAACATTCACAGTGCTTTCCTGGGAAAAAAAAGGTAGAACAAATGAGCTGTAGCCACTGAAAGATAACTATAAATTTAGCACGAGTTGATTGTGTAGTTCAGGGATGGGTTTAAAAGCATTACGATGAGAAGAAACTCCACGGACAGCTGAAGGTTTGCAGACACACTGAGTTTGGAGGAAGGTCTATGGAACGATTTGATTATGCAGACAAGACTGAGGAAGACATCTGCTAGTAAAAAACCTCACGCTTCCCGGACCATGAATAGAAGGCTGCAAAGAATGACAGCAAAACAATAAGGAAGGAAAAACGAGCAGCTAGGCAACACAAAAGGGAGACAAAAGAGATCGTCAGAGTACAGCTAGGTGAATGGTGGTGTACATAAAGTTAAGGGAAGTATGAACGGACAGGAAGAAAAGGATTTGAAATTAACACTAAGAGAAGGAAGAAGTAAGGCTGCTGAAGACTCCCCACTAAGAAGACTTGGCAGGACTATCCCCAGAACAGACACAACAAAGAGACAACGCGCTGCTGATCATGGGCAAAGATACATACAAGAACCCTGAAAGGGACTAAGCGTAAGTATAATTAACCTGCCACAGGACACAGCTGGAAGGGAGCACAGATTATTACACCATGCTGCTATAGATAAAAAGGAGCAGACACACAATTGTCATCAAAAAGAATTTTTGCCATTTTTAAGAGAAGAGCACAGAGGCAGGGCCATAAATGCTTATCATATATGCCACGACCATAATTAGAGAAAACAATGCATATAACGGGGTTAGGAAACCACGTGATGTCAATAAGAAGTAGTTAAAGCAGTTGAACACTAATGCAAAACTGCGATGCACAAATGAAGGAATAAGAATTGCTGCTACAGAACATGATACCTGACCTTATAGGATAGGAATAGCAAATAATGGCAAAAATAAACAAACTATGTAGAAAACATAGAAACAAAGGTAAAGATAGTAAGGTAGTACAGCATATTAAGGATACAGAAGATTGAAAAGTTTTGATAACTGAATTTTTACAGGTAACAGTTTTTGAAAAGGATACTACAAGAAATATATCAATGTAGGCCACAGTATCCTACATCTGAATCTGAGAATGCACAGGAATCTCTTCCTCATTATTAATGAGAAATTAGAAAACATTAGCTTTCAAGATAGTAAACCAAATGTTAAGACCTACACTATTCCTGAATGCCTTGAATGACAGATTTATTTTTTTTTCCTACAGTCACTGAACCAGCAATATAAGCTATTTTAGACTTATATATTTATATATTTAAGGAACAATATGGAAGTGATGATTCTAAAAATCAGCATGGGACAGAATTGCCCAATTCAAATGAAACAGAAAGATAAACACTTTATAAACAAGTAATTTATTAAAATTCAACATAGTAACTATTGAAAATGTTAGCTGAAGTGAGAACCTCTAGGGACTGACTGTGGATGAGACCTGCATTTTTTACAGTTAAAAGACAGAAAAAAAAAAGAGGGGGGGAAAAAGGAAGGAAAAAAAAAAAAGCCCCAAATAAGCCACTCTCCCACCTGTCCCCCTGTCTCCCAATCCCCCAAATACTGTGAATCCAAACAAATACATCTTCTAGGGAACAAGTCCAACCTAGCTGACACAGGTACTTCAGAAGGAGCAAATTTGCAAGGAAGGCTAGGAATACTATTTGAAGCACTAAAATGCTAGTTGAAAGATACCTACTCCCATTAAAACAAACAGCAACAAAAATCAAACTATTATACCTAGAAAGATCTTGCAAAGGAAATAAAAATTCCTTTTCAGTTAAGTAAAGGTATAAGTGTAAAAGAGATAAACCAGAACTAATACCTGTTAAAATATAGATGAGGGTAACATTAACAAAAATTGAAGTACACGCTGATTCAGTTTGCAGCAAGGAAAAGAAGATAAAGCCTATGTGTGAATGCAGTGGAAATAGTAGACATTTATTATCTTGGTGTCAGAAGCAGATTCAATGTTTTCTAGCATAGGGACCACAGACAGGCTAGCCACTGTGCAGCACTTTGCCTCCTCCAGATTGTCCCGAGCTGAGGAGGAGCTTCGCTGCTGCACACCACCACCGCACGGTCACAGAGCATCAGTGCCTGGACCACGGCAGAGCTCAGGAAGCAAACGTTAACAATGGATCGTCAAATCTCTAAATCTCCACCATTTTATACCATTAAGCATTTCTGTTCAAGCTCCCGGAGCAGCAGACACAATGCCAATCACATAATTAGACACTGAGGCAGGACACAAGACAGGGTTAATAGAACAACCAGGCCTTCCAGCAACACGGAGGCAGCGGTAACATTACAAAAAGGATGCGCATATATGGATACATGTGATACCACATTCTGCCAATACAATTATAAAATCTGATTGTTGCTTAGTTTCTTGCATACATATGAAATATAACTGCGTCTGTAACGCTTTTTTATTCCATGAGGAGATTGCAGAGAAAACAGAATACACCCAAAAAGAAATGGAAGGAATATGGTCTTACTTTTAATTTTGTAGAATTTATTTGATAATATTTCTCTAATTATTTATGTCTTTGCTATGGTCATTATTACTAGAAGTGAGAGAGAACTTTCATCACATTAATGGGAACACACTGATTTCAGTAGGAAAAGACAAAGTCTCAAGATGGGAGGCTTAAAAATAATTGACTGAAAAAATATATGACTGTCCTGGTTTCAGCTGGAATAGAGTTAGTTTTCTTTCTTGTAGTAGGTATAGTGCTGTGGTTTGGATTTAGGATGAGAATAATGTTAATAATACACTGATGTTTTGGTTGTTGCTGGGCAATGTTTATACCAAGTCAAGGATTTTTTGGCTTCTCATACTGCCCAGCCAGTGAGGAGGCTGGGCGTGCACAAGAAGCTGGGAGAGGACACGGCCAGGACAGCTGACCCAAACTGGCCAAAGGGATAGTCCATACCATATGATGTCATGCTCAGTACATAACTTGGGGGAAGCTGGCCGGGGCATTAGACCACAGCTCACGAACTAGCTGGGCATCAGCTGTCTGCAGGTGGTGAGCAGTTGTGCTGTGCATCACTTGTTTTGTATATTCTTTTATCATTATTATCATCTTCCTTTTCTGTCATATTAAACCATCTTTATCTCAATCCACGAGTTTTACTTGCCCCCCCCCGATTCTTTCCCCCATCCCATTAGGGAGGGTTGAGTGAACAATTGCGTGGTTTTTTTAGCTGCCTGCCAGGTTAAACCACAACAATAACCTTTATTTGCTAATTCAAAAACTAGTTCTGTCCACCTTTGAAATCTTGGTACCTTAAGCTGTAGTGGTGCTCAGTGGTACTGACAAAAAAACCCAACCCATAAAAATGCAAAAATAAAGTTGCGAATTGTGGCAACATAACAAAAAATGAGCAAACCTTTAGTGTTTAAGTGTTTCTCTCCCCAAAATGTCCATTTACCTAAGGGTTCTGATGAGCCAGTTAATTTGTATCAATTAAATAATAATAGTAATAATAATAATAATAGGATAAGTATGTAAAGTAGTAATATAAGCCATTTTTATAGGATTTTATCTTTTGTTGTACCTGTGGATCAAAAAGAAAGTAAGGACGACCACTCCTCAGTTGCAGCGCAATATATTCCTCTTGATTCCCAGGTGATGCAGAGAAAAAAATCAAACCATCAGGTTCCTGGGTTCTAAATTTCACTTTAATACCTGGTTAGAAAAAGCAAGCAGATGGTTAATGCCAAAAATGGTTCTCACGCATACGAACAGTGTAATTACAAAAAAAAAGTTGTTTTAAAACCAGCAGTAAAATGGCAAACCAAAATCATGGAAGTTTTGTTCACTTAAAACCCCTGCCAGTCATTGCAGGAGAAATTTTACTAATCCAGCCTGAATCAGCCTTTGAGAGAAATGTCTGTGATTTCAGAGCCCTTACTCATCCATAAAAAAAAGGTATGCAATTGTAACTTAGGCTATTCAGTAACTTCTTGCTTAAAAAAATGTAATTGAAATATTAGCATACTATTCTAATACTTGATGTTTTACATGTGGATTTTCAGTTGTCTCAACATTTCTGTTCACAAAGTGGGAATGAGATTCCTGCATGGAAGGATTTCTGTGAAGAGTAGTGGGGGTTTGGGTCTCAAAGACATATATACACAGACATTTATATGTATAATTATATGTACTCTTTTATAAATGTATATACACACATGCACAAAGAACATCTGAAAAATAACAGGTTTTAACAAAAATTGGACATATCCCAAGGAGTAATTGATGAACTAATCTTAAATAAGAGCATTTCCAGATCATTATCAACAGTCCTCCATTTGGCTTCTGATAAAACAGTCTCAGCACATGAAATGTCATTCAAGTGGCACACAAGAAAAAAAGTAGGGTTTTTTACATTACTTTTTACCACAAATATCAAAACAGCAAACTATTTAAACAGCTTGTAAATATTGGAATATTGTTTTCCATGGTATAAACTTACTCCTAACTATGTAACTATGTAAGGACACATTAATGAAACAACTTATAAACTATAAGTTTCGAGAACTATAGTTATGAATAAGCAAGTTTTGGATAGCCACCAATCTTGTTATAACACCTTTCTTTTAAGCTACCTCATGGAACATCATCCTACAGAAAGAAATAAGAAAATTACAGAACCATATGTCCAATTTGACCCAATTTTTCTAACATGCAAATCCAGATATCGCAGGCCGGGTCTACGGTGGAGCCCTACCTTAACTGAACTAATTTATTTGCAAAGTGAAATGGAAAAGCAGCAATAGTAACACCTACGTCTGCTGTACTTTGAGGTTCCAGGTATTTCCACCTGCGGTACCTGCTGGAGAGGCCACGATTCGTGGCCTCTAATCCCAGCAGTGGAGAGCACAGGTAATTTAACAAACCACCAGTATTTTTATCAAGTTGCCAAAAGACTTTTCCAAAGACTAAAGGATCCCTCCTCACACCTAGTTCAGAAGTACAAATACAAACAAAATAACTGAGTTTCTGCAAAAACATCATTATTTTATGTCATGTTAGAAAATACAAATTAAATGGTTCATAATGGTAATATTGGAATAATTCTTAAAGTTTTCAAATGTTACATAGGAGCTTTCTTTCTTCTTTGGATATTGAAGAGGCTTACAAACCTTAATTCCTGTGTGTAGAGCTGCCAGAGCTTCATATAAAGTATTGATGAGCCGGGAACCATCTTTCTCGCTCACAGCCCATACAGCAAATTCTTCTAAATTTCTTTGTCATCTATTACATAATTCAGAAAAGGACTCTGCCCCTTTAAGTTCATGTACCTGGAGCTTCTCATGAGATAAGGAAGTTTGCATAATCTAGCTCTAAATAAGTATTTTCATATCTCAATATTAGTAGTTCCCTGTATTTCCAGATGTGGGTGCTATGAAGGAACCAAATATTAAGCAAACTTCTGCATCACAGGTAATATTTCTACTGGAAGATAAAAACTTGTGAAATTAATATTTTTCACTGGGACATACTAATTTAAAAAAAAAAAAAAAATCTGAAAAGGTCCAGGTTGGACCTTATGGTCAAAACAAAGCCAGAAATCCCATTCAAGCCTTATAACAATCAGGTATATGTCATTCAGTTGCAGTACTTTTTCTGCCCTATTGACACTGAGCACATTTGAAAATGGATCTTACTTAACCTGAACACAGAAAGCTTTCTTTTGAAAACCTGAGAATTTTTTGCAGAATTTTAAACCCACACTGGATCACCAAAAAAACCTTGCAGTTATTTTTGGCGGGAGATTTTGCAAGAAAGTTTCTCAAAGAAACTTGAGTCAGCTATTTCAGTATGCATGTCTAAAGCCTTAACTTCAATGTTAAATACAACAGATAAAGAGAATCAGAAATAAAACAGTGACATTACAATTACTTCTGTAGTTTGTCATGTGCAGAAACCCCATCTCAGCCACACTACTGAGGCTACTAAATCTTGGATGGAAGACATGACCATCTGTGGGGCATAGTATGAATGTACTTTTAATCAACTGAATCTTGAATTGCAACTGAAGAATTCACCCAACAGGCCTGTTTATGTGACAAAAATGATTGGTCCACAAGGAGCTGTTATCATTTCTGGGGTAAAAAACAACAGGAAATTCTACTACAAATTAAACATTAATGTAAGTCATTATAGCTGCAATTGGAGAAGCTGTCAGAATTCCTTTAATTACAAAGAAATTTCTTCAATTTCTGTAATTGATTTTCTTTACTTATAATGGCATCGTACAAAACATAATACAAGCATTGTATAGAGAGAACATAAAAGACAAAAAAAAAGAATACACAGTAATAAAAGGACGACTAAAATAAATTACTAATATTACAATTAATGTTTTAAAGTATCCCAAAGTGTCTCGGCATAGACCAACCTTCTGTCAGGATCTACATAGTTTCAATTTATGCAGTAGCAGATTGAGATTAGATTTTTATCCTTGTTTCAAAGATGGCACATACAGGTTGTTAGAGGAATGAGGACGTGAGTGACCAACGTGGGCATTTTAAAGGCATTCACCTGAGCAGCAAAATCAGCATGCTACCTTGCGAGCGCATACAGTTTTGAGAGTTCCTTCTCGTAACAGGCTGATATTAAAAGAAAAAAAGATATACTATTACCAGGTCAGACGAGTCAGAACCCATTTTTTTGTCTAATACAGAAAAAGCATATGGAGCGATTTTGATACCAACTCTTTACCTCCCTCACGTAAGTTTAGCAAGTCTGAGAACTTCAGCGACATTTCACATTCAGACTCAGATTCACGTCTGGATTCAGACTCTTCTGGTGCAAATCAGTACATTTTGCAAGATCTGCACAAAAGCATTTAGCAGGCAAGAATGTGCTCTTAGGAGGCTGGCTGCGGTTTTTGCTTAAAGCAAGTTTACAGAGCACATGGGATTATTTTTGAGTTTAGAAAAGCCAGTTGGTAGTCGGAGGAAAAAATTAATAAATCAGAGCAGCTCCCAGATTAGCATAACATATACTAATAATTTATAATTATTACAGCAAAAAAATTCACTTCTGACTAATGCTAAACATTTTTTTCTTGCAAAATAAAAGGTTTCAAATAGGTTTTGTTTGACCAAGAAATTTTATTCACCCAGACTAAAGAGGTTTTTCTTCCTGTGAAACATCTTTCCAATTTAACTGAATTGAATTTAATTTGTTGGGGTTTTTTAAAAAAAAACCAAAAAAACCCACAAACAAACAAACAAAAAACACAAAACCAAAAAACCCCCCACCAAAACCAAACCCCAGCATTTCAAAATACAAAAACATTCACAGGACTCAAAAAATGTCTTTTGACTTTTTGAAATTTTGGGGAACAGGATTTGAGGGGAGAATGTAGGCAAAGGGGCAAGGTAACTGAAAACATCTTTTACAATAACAGCTGAGAGACTTCAGCAAAATGAACTACTTAAAACTAATCTCTTTGTCCCATGTATGCAGCTAAACCACCTGTAAAGTACCTTTCTCTGCAACCAGATGTTCAGAGGCTAGCTCAAAACAGCCAACAAATGCAAGCTATTAGACTCACTAAATACCCAGAAGTTGCTACAAGTCTCAAAAGTCCCATGCCCCTTCATCGAAACTGAATAAATATGTCCAAAAGTGTCAAGAACAGCCTCATAAATGTATTTCCAACCTGAACGCAGTCAGCAAGAATAGTGTTAGTTTAATTGTAATAAATACCCAATGCATATGCATAAAATTAAAAAGTAAGAATAATAATTAGATACCCTAGGATATTATGGACATTTTCTTTGTGGACTTAAGAAATCATAAAAGAAAATAGTTTACAGTTGGAAAACAAATTAAAAAAATCAAACCTGCCTAATATCTGGAAAATCACAAAACATTACTGGAAGTGAATTTTGCATAATCTGTGAAGCACATTCATTTTCAGTGCAATTTCTCCTAGAATTGTACAATTGTACAAACACCATTTGTATTTCCATTCTACTTATGTCACTATGTGAAACGGTGTAAATAATTATGTAATTGTACATTCCAATCGAATGAACAGAAAATCGTTGGCAAAGAAAGCGATCTCTATGTTTACTAAAGCCCTTATTTGTGCATAATGCCAACTAAAATGAATAGAAATTGTATATAAAATTTTGACTACAGCATTAGGCTCTCAGCAGTACCTTCAGGATGACAAAGGTTAAGCGTTTACTTAACATTAAGACTGTGTACAAATGCTTTTGTCTAATCAAACTACATTTACCCACAGAAATTATGAAACAAAATTGGGTTTTAACTGGGGAGGGGGTAGATAAGGAGTAAAGCTCTCAGTTATTATACACTTCCATTGAGTGAATATTTAGCCGTTATTCTCTGTGAGAGTGATTCTGCACGCTACATGCCATTACAATAGCTAAAACACATTTAAAAAATGTGCTTTTAATAAGGAAATATATCTTTCAAGAAAATAAGAAGGGAGACTTCATGAAAATGGCTCCACATTTAAAGCGGTCTCACATAATGGACAACGGAATTAGGGGAAAATAAGGAGCTCAGCAGACACTTTCCTGGACATACTCATGAAGATCCTCTGCTGAATACCAGCAGCTCTTCACACTGTGTGATGGCCTATAGCTTTCTGGATTTTGTTGAGAGAAAAAGCTGGAAAGTATTCTTCCCAAATCTGTCCA